TATCTTCATTGCTTGAGTCATCTTTCTTGCCCTTGTTCTTGTTCTTGAACTTGTCTTTCTTGGGCTTTGTGCATTGGTGAGCTAGATGACCAAGTTCACCACAATTGTAGCAATCCATCTCGGAGATTGGCTTTCTTCTTGAGCTTGTGAAGAACTTCTTCTTGCCATCGAACTTGATGCCACTCTTGTTGAGCTTCTTTAGCATCTTGGTGGTTTTCTTCACCATGAGAGCAAGGCTTTCATCATCAACTTCATCATCACTTGAGCTCTCATACTCAAGCCTTGCTTTGCCCTTCTTTTGGCAAGCTTTGAATGCTAAGTCTTTTTCTTTCTTCTTTGTAGAGGATGAGCCATCTTGAGGTGTGATGTGCATGTACATCTCATGAGCATTGATCTTCCCCAAGATTTGTGTCGGTGTAGCGGTGGAAAGATCACCTTGATGTAGCATGGTCACAATATGTCCATATTTGTCAATGGGGAGGACACTCAAAATCTTTCTTACAACATCGGATGGTTGCATTTGAGTGAGTCTAAGCCCATTAACTTCCTCTACAAGAACATTCAAACATGAATACATCTCATTAGCACATTCTTTAGGAAGCATTTCAAAAGAGTTGAGCTTTTTCATGACAAGATAATAGCGTTCCTCATGCTCACTCTTTGTTCCATCATGGAGCGCATAAACGTCCGACCATAGTGCATGGACGTCTTTGTGGTTCCTCGCCCGATTGAACACATCTTTGCAAAGGCCTCTAAAGATGGTGTTGCGAGCCTTTGCATTCTATTTTTCATAATTCACCTCATCGCCTTGTGGGTGTGCGGGATCCTTAGGTTTTGGGAAGCCTTACGAGACGGCTCTAAGTATTCCAACATCTAGAGCTTCTAGGTACGCCTCCATACGAATTTTCTAATAAGGAAAATCGTCCCCCTCAAAGATAGGAGGAGGTCCATCCCCGTGAGACATCTTTCTCTAGGCAGTTAAGCCTAAATACGTGAGCACGAGGCTTTGATACCAATTGAAAGGATCAAGATGCCCAAGAGGGGGGGTGAATTAGGCTAATTCTAAATTTCTTCGCAATAAACAAGTCCTACGGTTAGCCCAATTAACCCCTTGTGCCTAGGAAGTGTTTCTATTGAACTAACGCACAAAAGTTTAGCAACCTAAGGTCCAATCCTACTCTAGCATGGCAATTCTATGAATGTAAATGACAAGAATTGAATTGCTCAAAGTAAATGCTCAAAGTAAAGAGAGGAGAGGAAACGCGGCGATGTTTTGCCGAGGTATCGGAGAGTTGCCACTCCCCACTAGTCCTCGTTAGAGCACCCGCGCAAGGGTGTAGCTCCCCCTTGATCCGCGCAGGGATTAAGTGCTCTCTACGGATTGATTCTTCGACACTCCATCACGGTGAATCACCCACAACCGCTCACAACTTGAGTTGGGTCATCCACAAGCTCTCCGGATGATCACCAAGCTTCCAATCACCACCAAGCCGTCTAGGTGATAGCGATCACTAGGAGTAACAAGCACGAACTCTCACTTGACCATGACAAGCCTAATGAGATGGGTGGATGCACACTTTGCTACTCTTGATCTCACTAATGAGGGCTCTCTTTGGGATTCTCAAATCTCAATCACCTCACTAGGACCTTGCTCTTGTTGGCACTCTCAAATGTGTTTCTCAGCTGTTGGAATGAGCAAAAGTACCCCCACACACGAGTGGAGGTGGTATTTATAACATGGGCTGAAAAACGAACCGTTATGTGCCTCTGCGGGGTGACCGGACGCTCCGGTCAGTACACCCCGAACTCTAGTGTTTACAGTGTGACCGGACGCTGTCCAGCGTTCGGTCAGCACTGACCGGACATGTCTGGTCGTGATTTTCCCTCTCTGGAACCTTACTGGAGTCGACCGGACGCTGTCTCTCAGCGTCCGGTCACTTGACCTCTCAGCGTCCGATCGCACCGAACGCAATCTCCTTGGTCAAATGAACTGACCGGACCCTGAGCCAGCGTTCGGTCAAACCGGAGCCAGCGTCCAGTCAGTATTTGACCCTCCATTCACTTCCAACTCTCGATCATATGTGAATGAAGTTTGCTCCATTGGATCTAAGGGCTATTATGGAGCTACCTAGTGCTAGTTTTAACAAGTATGCACCACACCTAACTCACTAGACTCACCTAGGTCAAGCTACCCGTCCATACCCCCCTTAATAGTACGGCCAAAGGAAAAACAAAGTCCTAAACTACTCTAAGTGTCTCTCCAACTTCAATCGACACTTAGAACTAGTCATCCTTAACCTTGTCGTCCATCCTATGAAAACCGAAAGGATTTCCATTGTAGGGGCATGTCCACCATGATTGCCCAATCGATCTCCATTACCATGACCTAACTTAATTGCCTCTGCAAAACACACGTTAGTCATAGTAATCTTGTATTGTCATTAATCACCGAAACCCAACTAGGGGCCTAGATGCTTTCAGTGTGATCTCGCAAGACTACAAGCCCCTCCGATGTACAATAATGGTGCGCGCAAGCACCGAGTGGTAAGAGGTATGCAAACGTCACTAAACACTAGGCCTAAACCTAGAGCAAGCTCATAAGCGGTGGTCTAATCAATCTAAGCACTTTGCAAAGCACCTACGCTAATCACCTAATGAAACACTAAGCACTATACAAGTGAAGATCACTAAAATGGTGTATCAATACCCTTGATATGTTCCCTCAGGTCCACACACCTCAAATGGCTGGTTGGGGGTTGTATTTATAGGCCCCACTGAGACAGTAGCCGTTGGGGATGAAATCCCGCTTTTCTGCTACTGACCGGACGCGTCCAGTCGTCTCGACCGTTGGAGCCGCGATCCACTAATCAGACGCTACCAGCGTCCGGTCACATGCCACCGGACGCGTCCGGTCGCATTTTCGCCGCTCTAGAACCTCTCTATATTCGACCGGACTCTGTTGTCCTGCGTCTGGTTGATTTGCCGCCAGCATCCAGTCTAGCATCCAGTCGCTGCTGCTGACGCCTGTTGCTGAGCCACTTGATCGGAGCGTCCGGTTGCTTTCCTCCAGCATCATGTCACCTCTGTGAGCTCGTTTCTCCGCGATCTTGCGTACGGTTTGGTTTCTATCTTCGTGCTTGGACTTTGCTTGATATCTTGGGTCTTCTCTTATGCTTCTAAGGTCTTGCTTATGGTGTCGATCATCGGATCATCACGTCACCTTCGTCCAAGTCACGTCTTGCATCCTATTGAACTACAAAACAATCACTTGTAAATTCATTAGTCCAATTTGGTTATGTTGGTCATCAAACACCAAAATTCAAAGTAAATGGACCAAGAGTCCATTTTCCTTACAAAAGGCTTGCTGGAAAAGAGGGAGATGGGAGATCGAATCTAGGTCTTCTCTTTCCCAGCAATCCAGTTTTGATTCTACAATCCACGAAGAGCTCACGGCAGGGGCGAGGTGCTTGAGCTCTTGCGCGGGGGTGGACAGCGGGCGGCTAGGCTCGTGGCGAGAGAGTCGTTGGGCGGGGCCGGTGGTGGAGGCTGAGGGAGGGAGCGGGCCAGTGCGGTTCCACGGAGAAGAATAGGGCAGGGACAGCCGATGGCCACGCGCTCCTCGTATAGCGCGACCCGTCGTGGCTTAACTGCCTCCAATTCCACTTGTATACCCAGTACTCACCCTCTGCTCTGTCGTTCTAGACGCGCTTGAGATTCTGCTCATGCACAGTGTCAGCCCTAGGGTTATGGCACGAGATGCGACAGCCGAGGGCTCAAGCGGGGGAGAGGCCCAAGCCCAAGTATACAAACCTTCCGGTCCTATAGTCCATTAGGCATTAGCACACTAATAAGAAGAGAGACATAGAACTGGTCAGACGGTCAAAAAGACAATATCGGCATTTCTTTTCTAGTTTCCTTTTCCCACGGCCTTTGGGTAGAGAGGAGGCGAAGAGTCATGCTGCACACAGCACACTCTGATCGTAAGTTCGTGACGTGTGCCTTACACACGCGGAGCTGGCGAGACGCGCCTCCACGAAGAGCTACACTACCGGAGACACGGACACGGCGCACGAGGACGACGACTAGGCAGGGCTCCACGACGACGACATCTTGATTCTTGGTTTCTTATGAATTGTGATCATCGATTAGTTGTTTAGGCCCAAGGTATTTTTTTCCTTTTTATTTTTAATTCAAATTAATTATTTGTATAGTATTCCAGACTTCTAGTACTTCGTACCTATATAGTCATATTTTTCTTCTAATTTAGATGTTAGAATTTTAGAATGTTACCTAAGAAACATTTGTCATAGGTGAGAAAAGAAAACGAATATATTGCTTTTTTAATCTATATTGTTCCTCGATAATTATCATACATCTATAAATATATTACTTAATCTATATTGTTTCTTGATAATTATCATACATATTAAATTAAAAATTTATTATTAAATTTGCTTTGGTTTTGTCAGTAAAATTAGCGCCGATGTATTGCTCATGCATTGCCCCATTTTATACGTAGTTAGGTACTGCCGTGTTCCAATTGACAGCCACATGTGACAGACCTTCGTAGCCTTGTTCCTGTGTCTGAATTGCTACGAAGCTACGCCCGTCATATCAGCAATTGACGAACCCCGTGTGCTCTCATCACCATGGAAAATTACAATCGAAACTGACAAGAGCAGAAACGAAGAAAATAGAGGTAAAAACAGAATTATATATAATCTACTCATTCACCAGTCACCTCCAACAAATTGATCGTTGTTCACGCCTGCGAGAAGCAGTCGCATTAGTGATCAGTCTCTCTCAAGTTTTCGACTTCAAATCAAGCCACGAGGAAACACAAGAAGATGCATACTGAATAGTGAATACTGATCGACATAAAAAATCCGTTCACAGCTCAATTTGCCTCACATGAATCATCCTCGCCTAACATGACCCATCGACCATCGTACATGGAGCTAGGAACAATGAAGCCTAGACGTGGTACTCCGACTACTTGTCTAGCAGGGTATCTTGGAGGTGAACCAGGTCATGACGTGCAGCGGCGCCTTGATGAGCTCCACCGCCGCCTCCAACACCACCGTCACGCAGAGGCAGCACGGGCAGATGCACGAGATGGGCAGCCTGCACGTACGGATCACAGCAAAGGCCGCGTGCTGTCGCCGCTGAGAATTCACACGCACGCAAGCAGAGGCAAAATCGAAGCAAGGTCAGCAACTTACCCGATGATCCAGATGATGGCGCCGACGATGGAGACGAGGACGGCGAGCAGCGCGAACGGCAGCCCCAGCAGCCAGCCCAGCGGCCGGCACTCACCGCCGTCGCCACCGCAGCAACACATCACGGGCCGCCTTGTCTTCCTTTCCTCTCTTCCTTTGCTTGCTTGATTACTTAGGCGATCCTTGCTAGTACTATCTAATTTGCCTGGGTGGTCTCATCGTTTTGCGTTATTTTATATATGGTAGCGGGTGACTTGCCTTGTTGAGTGTGCTATTGCTCCTATTATTTATTATTTAATTTAACCTTTATTTGATTTAATAACAACCGGAATCAATCACGAGTGAGTGGAGGGAGCTGTTTCCATGTCGCTTTCTGCGAGGAGAGGACCCTCCGTGTCTGTCAACAAACTGCGTGATCGCCTATATTGACTGATTTAGCAGGTTCAACAGAATGGGCGGCTACAAACGTGCCAGTCAAAAGTATTGACTAAGAGTATCTGAATATAATAACATTCCTAAACTAAGCATAAGGAAATTGGTACCAGGTAGTAGTACTCTTCTAGCATGACAGCAATCACAAGCTTCAATTTTTAGAGTGTGGCATACATTTTCTGGAGTTTACTGTACATTTCCTTTTACAAAGCAGCACCAGGCCTCCTACCTCTTTCACCAAGCGCCCAACTACGGGCAAATGTTTCAATATTATTTGCTGTGCTATACTGAAAATACAGTTTACATCTATCTATATACTGTAGATAAATATACCAAGCAAATTTTGGTACCTTCCCCAGCCAACACATAGTGGGAAACATGATTCTACAGCTAAACAAGGTTCATGCACCAAGATCCGAACCAAACAGCCCCTTACATCAGGGTTTGGACTCGTTAGTGCCAGCAACAGGTGCACTTTACATCCAGATTATGCTGCATCAGGGTTTGGACTCGTTAGTGCCAGCAACAGGTGCACTTGCATATTTGGGTCTGGGAAGTTCGTCAAATGATGGTTTCCTCCCAAAAATCACTGCCGCCGCACGCGTCACGATGTGTGCAGTTAAGCCCCAAATCACAAACTTTTTGCCGCCTGCCTCGTAGTCGAAAAACTGGACAGGAATATCAATGCCCATCCAATTCATTTGTTTTGTCCTCCGGTGGTCGTCCTGTTGATGCAATACAAGTGAAAACTATGCAATGCAATGCAATGTTCTTACTCACACCATATTAGGAATCTAATGAGCAAAAAGGAATTAAGGAACATCAACAAAATTGTTGCTGCACTACAACATATGATAGAGAAACAACTACCTTTAGAAACATCTCCAGAGGTGCATCAAAGATGTCCTCCACTTCAGCTTTATTTAAGACAGGCTTGAATAAGGCTTTATCTGAGACCATGCCAATTACAGGAACAACATTGAGGCCATTCTGCAAAAGAAAGGTTGTAGCATAAGTACTGGACAGTTTGCAATTCCATTGGAAGAGTAGAAAAGCATGTGCCACATCACAGATATAGGAAAGTAGAGATGCATGTCAAACTGATATACTCAGTGCAGCAATCCATGCATGGCTTGTTTTTCAATATTTGATTAAAAGCCTTTTCCTTGTCATCAGTTCCAAAAAGATGGAGCCAAGCTAATGAGTAAATCTTTGATTGCTAGAAACTTTAAAAGGGAAGGCTGACGCAAAATGATCCAAAATCTCAAGGCTTCCTCCAGCTAGCAAGAGTAACACAGACATAGGTAATAAAAGCTAAACTTCCTAAGCTTGACTAGAGTAAGGAAGATTTCATTTGGTCAGTTCTGTATTTCATATGGATCATGGGTGTGATTTTGATGGTCCATGATATAGGTACACCCATGCATTTGAATGACCATTGAGTATCCCCTCTCAGAGACATCAGCACAGAAAAGGGAGGGGGGATTGTGCCAAAAAAAAGATTAAAAAAAAAAGAGCGTACCCAGTGCAGAGAGCTCCCGCTGTGTGCGGGGTCTGGGGCAAAAAAAAAGATTAACAGGGTGAAACAACCCACCTTTGACAACACAATGGTGAAACAAGCCTTTGACAACATATTCACCAGTTATGACCATTGACAGTTCCTTAATTTTGATTGAATGATTTTACATGACAGTAGTACACCTCTTCCTGATAGCAGGTTAATACTGATATTTAAATGCTTGTTTGGGACTTAAAGGCTTTGTTGTTGTTGATATGGAAAGGGTTTTCTTTTTTATTCATAGTATTTTGTGGAGTCAGAAGTTTAGAATATCTTCCTCTTCCTGAGATCGCATTATTTGCCCCCTACCTCAAACTCTAAAGTTGCATTGTCACTGGGGGAGTTTAACCCTGGTTTAAACATTTCTTGAAAATTTGTTCATCAGTCAATTGCACCTTCACTGATGCTCACTTGCTTCCCTTAGGCATGGTTTTAATGGCTAGACCAAAACCATTTGCTCAGCTCTGATTCTTATCAAACTAAACCAATAAGCTTATACCACTTGCCTCCCTAAATATTCAGATCAAATTCTTAGGCCCCCAATTTATTCTGGCCACTAGCTTAATATAATTCGTGACATGGCATCTAATCGAAGAGCAAAAAAAGTTACATGATGTGCAATCAAAGCATGAAAATATGTGATGGGCTTAAAGTTAAACAGGCCATATATAAAGAAAACGAAAATGATACTCCACCACATAAAGGTCTTCCACATTCAGACATACAATTTCAGAATTTCAGTTTGAATTTTATTTTAAGATTTTAATTGAAGTTGGGCATAACATTTGATTGTTTACTATCAGTATTTCAAATTTTTGATCCTCCAATCAAAGTTTGGCGTCGAATTTTGATGTTTGCAAAATGAACTGACACCGTAAGAGATATCTTGATGCGAATTGTTGGTATGCTATCTTAATGCTACAAGCATGTATACTTGAGGAGGTATTGCACTACAATGAGTCAAGATTAATCCTCTTTATATATATATATATATATATATATATATCAAAAATAGCTTGACTTAATACATTGTTACACCATTATACGACTCTACACAAGAATTGGTCGGTAAAATCATAAAGCTCTTTCATAGATGTCCTGTTAGTACCGGCAACAATTATGGCTTACCTTTGATATGAAAGGCTCAAGAACTGTAACAACAGAAACAAGGGCCGGATCCAGTCCAATCTCCTCCTTCGCCTCCCGTAGAGCTGTGGCCTTCGGATCTGCGTCCCCATCCTCCACCTTCCCTCCGGGTAACGACACCTCCCCTTACAATTTTCAAGAAATTGATTGAAGCACTCCAAGGAAAGAATCGTCCAGAGGAAAATCCAATAGGCAAAAGCTTTAGCCAGAGTCATGGTGTCTACCGGAGTGGGAGGAGAGGGAGGAAGCGCGCTTGGTAAGAAGGACCCGTGGCCCGCTGCTGGGGTCCTCGAAGAGGCAGACCAGCACCGCGGCGTGGACCTTGGAGGCGGCCGAGCGTTGGCTTTTCGCGGGGACGGCATCTGCGGCGGCGGCGGCAGGGGCGCCCACTGAGGAGAGCTCGCCGGAAGAAGAGGAGGCGAGATGGCGTGTGAGATGGGCCAACCGCCGAGACGGAGAGGAAGAGAAGGAAGAGGAGGCCATGGCAATGTGAGTGGAGGTGAACAGGCGGGTAAGGAAAGGTCTCATGGCTGCGACGGTGATAACGGCGCAGCAGCGGCGATATCAAGGTGGGAGTTGGAGGGGTCGCCGCCGTCCGCCGTCCCAAAGGTAGATGTGACTCGTAACGGCCAACGCCATTTGGGTCAAGCAGCGGGCACCGCTATCTAATCGAACTGCTCGACTGTACCCTCCGTCACAAGATAATCACATCTGGTTTTTCTTGGGTCAAACAAATTTTTCTTAACTCTATACAGAGGCGGAGCCAGGAATTTTCGAGAGCCCACGCCGAGCAACAGTGACAAGCAATGCACATGAATATATCATATAACATACATATAAAATTAGGAAACCATGATAGATTCAAATTAAAATGTTAAAATGATTTTTCAGTACACAAGTTCACGACTTACATAATGAAACACAAAAGATAAAACTAAATGGTAATTGGTAACTACAGATGCCCACGTCCACGAGCATGGTTACGAGGCAGCTGCATCTTGCGACTCTTCAAGTTTTGAAACCACCGAAGAATAGTAGCTTCATCAAGTGAATTGAATAGTTCTCGCTCAATATAGCAGATCATCAAGTTGTTGAACCAATCATCAGCAATCCTATTGTGAGATTTAGACTTGATAGTCTTCGTACATGAGAAAGCCCTTTCAACATTTGTTGTTGACACCGGCACCAACAAGGACAATTCAATGAGCTCGTAGACCAATGGAAAAAGCAAATGTTTTTCGGTTTCAACCATTTTTTGGGACAAACTTTCAATATCTTTACAATTAGCAAAGGCGGCATGCCTCCTTACATGAAGTGCCTTATGACTCTAATTGTCCCCTTATGACTCCACGATCATGATTTGAGAAATCCTCAGCATAAATTTTAGCAAGCTGAGCAAGACTGTTGACATCAAAACTAGAGAAAGAGTTCTTCGGATCAAAGACAAGAAAAGCACATCAATAGCTCCATCGTCGCTTCAGTGAACCGATGATTCATTTTAGCACATATTTTATCAAGAACAACATAGAAAATCCCAACACAATAATGATGAAGATTAGTAACAGTAAATCCGTCACGCCATTTGTGATGCAAAGAACCTTTTGTTTGTAAGGCACGTGAGAGCTCATTTGTGATGCAAAGAACCTTTAACATAAGCACCATAATAAAAACAAATTCAAAGCACTCTATTTTTTTGTATCAAACCAGCTGCTTGATTTGGCACTCGTCCATCTTCATGAACTATTTGAAGGACCTTTATCACCGAGTCCTACATTTGGGACAAGCGAACCAAAGTAACATGATGCCAACCCCATCTTGTATCCCTAGGCCTAGCAAGGACAGTTTCTTGATTCAAGCCTCTTCCTGTAGATACCTCGCCAGTTTCAATACGCCGCAGAGTATTTTGACACTGGTTTTCAATTAGTTTGTCCCTTCTCTTGCATGATGTACTTGTGGTGGTCACAATCAAAGATATATACTCAAAGAAATCAATGATAGAAGAGCAACAATTCGCAATAGAAACAACAACTAGCTGTAACTGATGGCAAAACAGTGGACATAGAATGCATATGGGTTTTCATCTAGAATCTTTTTTTGCAGTCCATTAAATTCACTTATCATATTAGAAGCCCCGTCATATCCTTGCCCTCGTATCCAAGAAACTGATAGCTTGTTCTTGTCAAGGACAGCAAGCAATGCTTCCTTCAATGCATCGGTTGTAGTATCTTTGACATGTACAAGAGCAAGAAATCTTTCAACAACAATCCCTTTAGAATTCACATACCTGCAGTAGTGCACCAATTAAAAAAACACTAATAAAACTGAATATTGTACAGAATTAGACAACTTAATAGAACTGACACAATATACTAGTTGCTAACCTTAAAATAATAGCAATTTGCTCTTTCACTGATATATCACGTGATTCATTAATGAGAATAGAGAATGGCCTATTACCAATCTCTTCCATAATTGCTTCAGTTATTTCTTCTGCACAACACCTTGCAAGATCCTTTTGGATATCATGGGAAGTCATCTTACAATTTAAGCCACCTCGATCATAGGCATTCCTGACTTCTTCATTGTTGTCTTTTAGAAAATCAATCAACTCTAGAAGATTGCCTTTGTTCAAAGAGCAAGAAGATTCATCATGCCCACAAAAAGATAGTCCTTGCTTTAAGAGATATCTTGAACATCGTAAAGTAGAAGTTAAACGAGTTTGGTATAATTCCTCCGATTGTGTTACTAGCTCTGTTTAATACTCTCTGCACACTCTGTCTTTGATTTTTAAAGTCACCATATTTCTGAACACACTTGTTGTGAGCACTACCTACACCATCAACATGTTCAGGTAATGCTTTGTATGCATGTTTCCAATCTCTCCAACTAGTTTTGTTAAATACATCATAACCAAAATGTTGTGCCCTCCCCGGCTGCTTTAAAAGGAAGCAATAAAAGCAATAACCAGCATCTTTGGATTCACTATATTCTAACCAATTATATTTCTTATACCAACCCACAGAAAAGCCCCTTGAACCTGGATCTTTCAATATATTTGTTGGTTGTGATGGACCTTTCAATATGTATGCTCTCCTAACTGGTCTTGAATTTCAGGTGCATACTCATATATTTGTTTTCTAAGAGCTGGGCCACATACGATTTCATTAGGATCAAACTCACTGGTGAAATTGTCCATGTTTGGTTCTGGTTCCGGATGACCTGGAGCTTCATGTGGCTCTTCTATGTTTGTATGTCTTTCAGGTTCATTACTTCCACCAACATCAGGACAAGTCCTTCTATCAACCAAAAAACGCCTCATCCCTAAATAAAAAATGTAAGAAACAGTCATAAGGGCAAGGTCATAGATTATCCATCAAATTTAACCTCTGCATATTAGATAATTCATAACTGAAATTAGTCAAATTACCTGGTTGGCTTAGCCTCCTCTCTACCATTTGCAATTTTTGCTCAATCTAGGTGATGTCCAATACAGCAAGGTAGCAGGCGGCGCTTGTGCCTTGTCCACGGCTTCCTCCAGTCGCCGGCTCTGCCTCGTCGGACTCGGACCACCGGCCACCAGCCACTGCTAGCCGCAGTTGCTCTCACAAGAAGCAGTAGCAAGGGGAGGTCAAATCCATCAACTTCGTTTGGGGTTCGGGATTGGAAAAGAGGAAGGACAGAGAGATAATGAAGGAGGATTGGGGTTAACCTGGGATCCGATTGGGGTTGAGGTCGGCGCATAGACCGTTGCTTCAGCCTCCCCGCCATGGAGTAATGGCGCCTCCTCGGTACCGCGCGTCCGCGCCGCTGCCCTCGAGCGCTCGCCTTTTCCTCTAGGCCTTTGGGCCTAAAGCACAAGTAGCGGGGGAGCCCAGCCAACGGCCCAGGGTGGCCGGGCCTTGGCTCCGCCAGTAACTCTATAGTTTTTTATACAAAGTTGTCTATGTCCAGAAAATATTAGAGAAATCCAATATGTACGGGTCATACCCATCAAAAACCACTTGGTAGTCAGATCTCTAGATATAGAGAACGGCCCATCTTAAGACCAAGGGAGAAATTGAAAGAGATTTTGGGACTAGGTTCAATATCTTAGGCCCTGTTTGGTTGAGCTGTAGCTTTTGGAAACGCTGTTGTGAGTTGTGGGATGTGGAAAAACAGATTTGGTTAGAGTTGTTGTCAAACTATAGGCTGTGTAAAAAAATACATGTAATACCCCTGAAGGCTTGGCGACCTGTTTTTATGCAAATTACTGATAACAAAATAATTTGTTCACTAATTCGCATTTCAATGACTATTTTAGCAAGGAAAAAATAATTTTCTAAAGTTTTTCATCCTCAACAAAGTGATTGGTCCACATAAATAGAACAATATCCATCAAAGGGCTTAGACAACGATGCCATCCATCAACATAACTAGCCTTCTCTTGGACTAACCAAAGCATCAGCTATCCTAGTACGAATGGTATTCATGGTATCCTCGTTCTCTCCACATCCTCACTACCATACCCTTGTGTTTGCTTTGTGCCACCTGTATGTTGTACCAAGTAATCCTCATCAGCATCACATCTCTCGAACTCCTTATCACGCAAATTGTTGTCACAGATAAAATTATGCAATGCAAGACAAGCCGTAATGATATGCTTCTGAGTACGAGGCGAGAAACTTAGCATGCCCTTCAAAATACGCCACTTCTGCTTCAAGACTCCAAAACACCTTTCAATGATATTACGAAGGGATGAATGCAAGAAATTGAACACCTCATACTTTCCTTGAGGAGGCCCTGAACGATTCCAAAATTCTGGTATATGGTAGGTGCTTCCTTTGAAAGGTGCAAGATACCTAGTTCGGTTTGGGTAACCTGAGTCCACAAGATAATATTTTCCTACAAAACCAAGTTAGTAACGTACATAATAATACAACTATTGCGAACATAATACAGGAAACCATTAGTACCTTTAGGAGGCACAGGAAATGAAGGAAAATTTGGCAATGCATGATTGAGGATGCGCGTGTCATGTGCAAAACCCGACCAACCGGTAACCGCAAAGGTAAACCTCATGTCAAAGTCAAAAATAGCTAGCACATTCTGAGATGTATATCCATGACAATTTGTGTGGTTAACCACTTGGCAACGTATTATGTGCAAATCAACCAACCTGTGCAAACTTGGAAACTACCAATCAGGACCATGAGATGCTGATCCAATGGATGGGGTGAGAGGTGGGATTTTTTTGCGCTTAAGCCCTCCACCCGTCGGCCTTTTTTTCGCTTAAGTCCCCTTACCCCATCCATTGGATCAGCATCTAGTGGTCCTGATTTGTAGTTTTCAAGTTTGCACAGATTGGTTGGTTTGCACCTGATATGTTGCCTAACCACTTCGTCCACTGGCACTACCACCTGAACATGTGAACCATTTATTGCTCCAATTGCTCCTTTGAAGTATGGCCAAAAAATGTTCTCTCTCACCCTTTCATGCTCTGTAGAAAAAGTAGGATCTCTCGGTTTAATATTGTCCTTAGCTAACTTGCGCAAACACTTCAACACTTCATGAAACTTGGTGTTAACTATCCAAAGTGACCGTGTGAAACAATTTTCAGCTTGTGAAAATGATTGTGGTCCTCTGACGATCCACAAGAACATATCCAATGACTCAGTAGATGAAACATTGTTGCTTGAGGTCAATCCATAGGTACTTTCTAGCAAGCCATGAAGTGCCTCAAAAATCTCAGGGCTCATCTGAAACATCTTATAAAAATACATAGGCAAATTATGGTTCGACACAGGGAAACTTATTTTGGTTCAACATAGGCAAATGTTCTCGCATATGAGACGAAATAATCTGGAACACATGAAAAGAAATCACTGCCGCTTCATCATCTCCTTCTCATGTTCCCTCTCGATCAAATCAAGCCTTCCTTTATTTGTTCGTAGAGAGCTAAAGAGCTCCCTAAAGTCAGGCTTAAGAATTAGGGAGGAAGCTATGTACATTAGAGCAGTTCCTTCTTCCACCCCACATTCTATCACCATCTGCACGGTCTCAGCAATGGAAGGAATGAGATTGGTTGGAGGAGCGGATGATGCTTCAACACTTGTGGAGATCCTCTCTGCTGCAGTTTCGATCTTCAAATAGTGTTCTTGTACATACGAAAAAATGGGCTCTTCTCATCCTTGTCTGCAACAGCAGTGGAGGACCCCTTGCGTTTCTTTTTTCCTTAGTTCCCTGTCTTCTCAGCTTTCTTTTATGGTTTTGGTACCTCCTCTACAGCCTCGTCACTTGCCTCATCGGAGGATATATCTCCAGGACAGGATGTCAAAGACCCACTAACGGCCCCGTTCGCTGGTCTGAAACTTGGCTGATACTGGCTGAAAATACTGTTCCGACTGAATTGTTGTGAGAGAAAAACACTGTTCCGGCTGAAAAAAGAAGCCGAACAAGCCGAATATGGGGTAAGCCGAACAAAGCCGTTAACATCTGCCTTGCCAAAAAATGATATGCATATCATCAAAAAACTTTGGTCCTTGCTTTCAAAACTTCATGTGATTGCATTTGATTCCTTTCTCACGGTTGTTACATCTCTGAAATTAAATAAATAAAATTAGCAAGACATACTGGCCCTGTTCGCTGGGAGGAATATGGAGGAATCTGAAGGAATTTGTGAGAGCGTGAACAGTGTTTTTCATCCGGAAACCGTGTTTTTCCGGCTGGTTTCTACACCAGCTGAATGGCCCCACTACAACAAATAACAGGAAAAAATATATGTACAGTGACAGTACAGAGCAAGGTGTTCATCCCACCATTCCTGCGAGCAATCAACAGTTTTTTTCTGCATCCCTTCCAAAACTAGTAGCACAATTCTTGAACTCCATAAAGATTGAACATTCCTTTTTTTCAAGACATCTAACTTGTTCTTCAATTGTTTTTTTGGTTCGTCTATCACCGGATTTTTCTGCAAACTTAGAAACAACATTCTTCCAACCGGTAGTGGTGAAAATGCCCATCGGCCTATTCTGAGCTTCTATTTCATCTTTGCGGGCATCAAACAAATGCCTCAAAAAACCATCACTCTAATATGCCTTGTCACCCATTCTTGAACCAAACAAAAAAAATTCAATCAATTTGCAGGCAACAACAACTAATCATGCATTCTACAACGCAGTACATTCTTGAACCAAATTTGTCACCCATTCTCCAACCCAGCAGCTAATCATGCATCTATTTGGAACAGAGGGAGACAGACGTACCTTGCAGGTTCGGCGACGGCAGGGGACGAGTCGGTTGAGGACAAGGGCCACGCTGGGGGCTGGTGCTAGCTGCGGCGGGCGGCCGGTGCTGCAGCTCGTTGGGTGGGCGGCCGGGCACCGTGCAGAGTGGGAGGCCAACCAGGGAAGCACCGGCGTCGGGCGGGGATGCGGATGGCCGGCGTCGAGCTGGGATGCGTCCGGCGTCGGGCAGGTACGGTGGGGCGGCGGCCGGCCTGAGCACGCCTCGGGCGGGGGTGGCGGCGGACCAGGAACCCTAGCCGGTGGTTGCGGCCATACGCGGAAGGAGTCTAGGGCTTGGGCGGATGCGGAGGAATAGAAGGCAGCGAACCGTTTTTTTCTTTCTCATAACAAGTGGCAATGGGTAATGAGGCTTTTACATGTATGCCATTAAAAAAGTTTGTAATTACGTATAAGCCATTAAAAAAATTAACCCCACACGAGTGCCATCGTTCTGAACTTCTTTGCTCTCCAAGCCATTCCGTTGGTGTTCTGATCGTTTTTCACCGTTACGACAAGTGGGTCAGGTCAGTCAAAAGGTCCATAATACCCCTCTCATCCCTATCCTCTCTCTCTCTCTCAAACTCGATCTCTCTTCTCGTGTGAGCTCGCCAGCGCCTGCGCCCGCGGCGGCTGGCCGGGGCGGAGCTCGCCCGCGCACGCCCGCGACGGCCGGGGTGGAGCTCGCCCGCGCCCGCGCTCGCGGCGGCTGGGGACAGGCTAGGCGGCAGCGCGGAGCAACGGCGCCAAGGCGGTCACCGCGGCCGCGAGCTCGCGCACGTTAGCCTGGATGAGGTGGCGCTGTGGTCGGAGTGGAGCTGCCCCCCGAACACGGCGACGACGCCGACGGCGGCGGCCACCTTGAGGATGGTCGTGGCCAGAGTGTCCACCATCAGCAGCGCCGCCATCTCCTTCTTGGTCGCGGCGGCGCGGGAGGCGCGCCTGCACCTCGCTCGGGCGCAGAACGTGAGGCGGCACAGCGCGGCGGGCACGCCCACGGCCGCAAGCACGAGCGCTAACGGAGGGGATGGCGGCCGCGAGCTCCGCCGGCCGCGGACGCGAGCGTGGGCGCGAGCTCCGCCGAGCGGGGCTCTGCCGGCCGCAAGCGCAAGGGGAAGCCGGGCGTGGACGAGGCCGCCACTGCCGGAGGGGATGGTGGCCTCGAGCGCGAGCATGAGGCCGGGCGTGGACGACGTTGCCGCTACCGGAGGGGATAGGCGGCCGCGAGCGCGGGCGCGAGGCCGGACGTGGACGCCGCCGCCGAAGACGGAGGGGATGGCGGCCGCGAGCTCGAGCACGAGCTCCGCCGGCCATGGACGTTAGCGCGGGAGCGAGCTCCGCCGAGCGGGGCTCTGTCGGCCGCAAGCGCGAGCGCGGGCTCTGCCAGCCGCGAGCGCGAGCTCCGCCGGGCGCAGACGCGAGCGCGGGCGCGAGCTCTGCCTGGCGCGGGTGCGAGCTCCGCCGGCCCTCAAACGCGAGCGCGAGCGGTGTGGACGAAAGAAGCAAGAGGATAGGACGAGAGAAGGGTATTTTTGACGTTTATACTGACCGGGCCCACATGTAACGGTGAAAAACGAACAGAACACCGACGGGATGGCTTGGATAGCAAACAAGTTCAGAACGATGTCACTCGTGTGCGGTCAGCTTTTTTAATGGCTTGTGCGTAATTACAAACTTTTTTAATGGCATACGTGTAAAAGCCTCATGGGTAATTTTGTCAAAGTTGTCCATCCAAAAGCCAGTGAAAGCAGGGGAAGATGTGCTTTTGGAATCGTACTAAAGTGAAAGCTTCTTTTGGGCAAAAGCACATGTGACTTTTAGGCCATTTGGTTGGCTTTTGTCTTTTGCAAAAGCAAAAGCAGATTGGAAAGCCCAACCAAAGGGACCCTTAGTATCGTTGGAGTACTTATGTATCTTGCTATCAGCACTCACTCGGATATAAAATTTGTAATATCATAAATTTACTAGCAATCCATATAGTGCTACTCCTACGAAGCGTCACTGGGTAGGCTTTAGAAAAAATTTGAGATATCTCAATGGCCCAATAGATCATGGAACATTCTATAGAAGAAACCAAGATCCAATTTTGATGGGTATACATATGCTAGCTACTTATCAGATTGATCTTAGATTGGCTTTGTGTTCTTGTAAGGTGGAACAACCATCTCTTGGATTCTTCAAGCAAACTATAGTGGCTACTTCCACCAACCATTCTGAAATAATTGCTTTGTATGAAGCATCACACGAGTGCATATGGTTTCGCAGAATGATAAATCACATAATGCAATCATGTGGTATTGGTGCACTTGAGACACCAACCATTATCTTTGAAGATATTGTTGCTTGTGTTGTGCAAACGGAATCAAATTACATCAAAAGCAACATCACTAAGCATATTGTTCCAAAGTTACTCTATCCTCATGAATTGCAAAAGAATGCAAAAAAATGAGACCTTGCAAACAATGGATCATACATACATGTATGTTCCCAATTGGGCTTAGATATACATGTATGTCCACCGTTATACATCAATCATTTGCATTGCTCATCTCTCCCTCTTAACTCAGTAGGCCAAACAGAGATCTACATGTCGTCACCACTGCAGTAATGAAGAAAGTTATTATCTTTAACGTTAGATGGAAATACAAGAATCAATACTTCTCTATATGTTTAAATGTCACATGCTAATAAGTAAAATTAAACCAATAACCAAACTAAAATAAATTAGAAAATGGAGAAAGGACGAGACCAGTAGTAGGTACTCTGCACAACCAACCTATTCTTGTCAAATGGGTTCGCTGTGGCGGTCAATGTATCTTCCCTCCCACCCGAAGAAGCCAAGAACCTTGCCTCTCGCCCGCAGTTCGCTCACAACACGCACACTACCGAGCCATGGCATGCAACCAACACCTTCAAAATCTCCAAACACAGGCGCATGCACCGCCTCCTTCGATTGACCCCACGCGCTTGTCGCAATGCCATCGCGACAACCATCCTCGTCGTTGTCATCTTCTTTTCCTTCGTCACCGGGCGTGGTGGCCCAGGTCCCAATCGCCGCGGCTGCCTCCCTGCAGACCAGTCCTGCTTCGCGGTCTCTATCGCCGTCGGCGCACCATACTCCTCGCGCCATGATGCTGCCACAGTCGTCGTAGCCACACACACGTGCTGCACCACGACCTCCTACATCGCCATCCTCGGCATCAGTTTTGGTTCCCTCCTCGTCATCTTGCTCATCCTGTGCACCATCCGGTGGTACCTCGTGCAACGGTCCGCGAGACGGGATGCTGCTGAGGCTGCCGCTGTATTAGCAGAGCCAGAAAAGAAACCGCCCATGGGGCTGGATGCCGAAGCCATAGTTGCGCTTCCTGAGTTCACATATCGGAAGGAGGATGCTGATAGAGAGGAGGAGCGAGAGTTTGCCGTGTGCCTGGGCGCGATGGCGGAGGGGGACGCAGCGCGGCGTGACGTGCATGCACATCTTCCACCGAGGTTGTGTCGACGTGTGGCTAAGGGAGCACTCGACATGCCCCGTCTGTCGCGCCGAGGTAGACATCAGAACAACTTGTGAGGGATGCGATGAGATGAACCAAGAGGTCGGCCCGTCGCGGGTATCCACATCAATGGCGCAGCCAACGCGTGAAGGGCTGCTCGACGACGGGGAGAGGGACCTGGATGCACAAGTGTAGAGAGTGTATGTTAGAGGTACATGCTAGGAGTAGCTTTGTGTTATTATTCTTTTCTTTGTTAGGGAAGTGAATTAGCAATTTGGATGATTTGGTTGGAATTTGTAGGATATACATGTATATGTAGTGTTCTGTCTATGGAGTATCACATGTATACCACTGCTAGTGAGAATAAATAAAAGATAAAAGGAGGAATGCTCAAGGTTTTTGTGTTACCTGATTGAACTGAAATTGTCCTTATGGAAAAAAGAAAGACAATGAAATAGACTTTAATAGATGTTCCTTAAGGTCAGTTATTTAGGTGGGATTGATCTCGTTTGTTAAGGGTACAATATGAAAACTATTGTAAAATGGAATTCCCCTATGGGTGCAAAATGACAAGGAAATACAAATTACTGTCAAGAAAATTGGAAACATAATTTTTCTATTGTTTCAATAGGAAGACCTAAAATGATAGGGAAATATTTGCCAAATGGAGCACCAGAAGAAACAATTTCCTTATCAGTTCTTTCCTAACAAGAAAATTTTGGGCCATCAAATATGGATTTCTATCACTGTCATACGAAAACGGCACGAAAATGCATTTCAACCATTAAGGAAAAATGTTTTCCTCTTGGTTGTGAACCATCAATAAAAATACCAATTTTCTTGTCATTGTTGTCACAAAAAATGATGGCATTAATACTAACAGTTAAATTGTCCACAGAGGAACCTCATCTCATACATGATGTTCGTGTGGTCCTACTTACCACAACAATGATGTTTGTTTGTACATAAAAATATATTACTCATATATAAAACCAATGATATAGAAACACGGCAATGCGATCATATATATCAGACTATCTTTTTATCGCTCTAAATTTGAAATGTGAATCAAATCATTGTGTCTTTTGTGGTTGTGATCATATTCTTGTTCTTGGGTACAAAAAACTAATAGTCATCATCGGATGTGATCATATAAAATTTGAGTTGTTTTAGTTTAAAAGTTCAATTTCATCATAACATCCTGATTCAACATAATCATGAACATTTATCAAGTGCTAGGCATAAAACAAGGTGAGGTGAATCATATAGTATATCTCCATGTGTATTTAGGACTGGATACAGTGGTTTCACATTTCAAATCTTAGAGAAGAATAGAACATCCCAACATTTTTATGGCAGCGCTTACGGTTTTTATATAAAAATGTTTCATAGAAATATCTTTATAGTAGTGTAAGTTTTTTTAATTTTAAATAGTTTTCAAAAAAAATATTCACTATGCATGTCAAATCATGCACAAAAATATCAAACAATCTAATGGTGAAACCGGTTTCTCAACTGTATGTTGCAGTGAAGAATTATCACCAAAGATGAAATATAAATTGATATGGTTGCATGCATGCAAATTTCGTTGGTTGTGTCAGGTAAGTACCTTTTGTTGACTTTGTTTCTATACCTACTAAAATAAGTTTTTATACTTGTTGTTTATATGATAAAGAGCATATATTTCTATAATTGCAGATAAATTTAGTGGGGAACTACCAAGTGGTGTACTCAGAATAGCTCAATTTCTGCATTGTGGTGGTTGCTTATGCTTGTCTGTGGCTGCTGGGTACGGTAAGCACTGGACTTGAGCTCCCAATAACTATTGGAATCCTATGACTTATTTGGAAGGGTTCCTCCGGAGGAGCCAGAGCCGTTTTGGCTACGGTTCATCTTTTTTCCAACTAAAAACGAATTCAAACAGGTCCTCCTACTAAACCGTTTGGTAGGGCTCCTCCAGAGCTAGAGTCGGAGAGGAGCCCTACCAAACGGGCGTAGTGTCTCTTTGTAAAATCTAAATTATAGTTTACTTTACTTTTGTTTAAATGAAAACTCTCTAGTTTTAGTTAAGGTTTTAGAAAAAGTTACATTAACATCAGCAAGTTTAAACAAACGGGTTATCAAGCCATATTTTATAGAGAATTTAGTGAAATATTGTAAGTACCCGTATATTTTTCTACAAATTTGTTCAAAGCCGGAGAAGTTTAAATTAAAACAAAGCTAAGATGAAATATAATTTAGAATATGTAATACACGTCAAACTAAACTGGCTAGAAAAAGACTTGAAGAGATGGCATGTGTGAAAAAATGGTGCCACGAAACTACTTCTCGTGAAACGATAATGCTGGTATCCGTCCATCTTTATCCATCCGGACGCCTGCTTGTTAGGTCTGCAGACCGGCCCACGCAACTGGCCACTCATCTCTCTACTGTAACATCTCTGGTGTTACGAGTTCGCTAAACACTGAGATTATGGCCTGAGAGACAGATCTATCAATATAGTGAGTTAGTTACGTAAATGCCTATGTGTGTTAATGAAAATACTAACGCGAAGAGTAGAATAAATAGTTCTAAACATTGGCACGAGAAGCAATTTTTATAAACAAAATAAAATATAACTTGTAATTTGGTACTTAAATAAAATTTGAAGTACAAGTTTAATAGATGAAAATGTAACTCTTGTTTTGGTGAATAAAAATTATTCAATAGTATATCTGATAACTCAGAAATCGAATCCGAAAATTTAACTAGAATTTTCATGAATCGGCAAGAAGTTGAGTAATAGTTAGGATGTCATTTTTGGTGAATTATATTGAGTAAAATAATCAAATAGTGCTTAAATATTTTGCCTCTATGAGTTAGTATAAAGTAAGGATTATTGCATGGGATATTTATTAAGTTGAGATTGACAAGGTTTAGACCTTCTATAAATTAAGACAAAAGTGCTAATGACTGTTAGTTATAACCTAAACCTTGAAGTTTCCAAGATGACGATAGACAATGACGTGTTAGCATTTAAATTCTAGCTAAATTTCTTAAACACTAGCTTTATATTCTTGTACCGTTAGTGCATCATGGTGAGTACTTTGGCGTGGAGTGGTTCGTACGATGGTCTGACGTAGCGGGGTTACTCCAAGAATTGCTCGAAACTCCTTAGAACACACGAAGAACCATGTTCGGTGCTCTGTTCGTGAACCGGCGCGCTGCGCGACGAACTTATCTTGGCCTTCTCGTATCTTTTTCCCTAGTCACTCTTTGGTCGCGCCGAGCGCTTCCCTAGCAGCCGGTGGCGCGGAAATTAGGTTAGTGAGGTTGGTCGAACCTTAACCGCACTGTTTGGCAGCCTTGGCATCGTTTTAAAAATTGTGTGCATTGCCGTTTCGGTTGATGAGGACATCCTCCACTATTAACCGTTGGCAAAGACGCAACAAAGGGGCCAAGTGGCCTAGTTGTAGTCGGGCGGCGACCGTGTGAGCCTCTGAATAATCCCACCTTGCTTAGCTTGGGAGGAGGAAGTCACCTTAAAAGGGAGAGCCACCCTTCCCTATTGGACTAGTCTTTTAGGGACATTGGGCATTTCCCCGAGTGGGTGTGCCTGAGAACTGTTGGGGTCCGGGCAGCCTTAATTTATTGGGCCTCGGTCAACCCCACTTGGCCCGGATGCATCATTTGGTATCAGAGCTGGGCCCTTGTTTAAGGGGGTGGGAATGATGAGGACATCCTCCACTATTAACCGTTGGCAAAGACGCAACAAAGGGGCCAAGTGGCCTAGTTGTAGTCGGGCGGCGACCGTGTGAGCCTCTGAATAATCCCACCTTGCTTAGCTTGGGAGGAGGAAGTCACCTTAAAAGGGAGAGCCACCCTTCCCTATTGGACTAGTCTTTTAGGGACATTGGGCATTTCCCCGAGTGGGTGTGCCTGAGAATTGTTGGGGTCCGGGCAGCCTTAATTTATTGGGCCTCGGCCAACCCCACTTGGGCCGGATGCATCATCGGTCGTTGGGTTTCAGTGGCCGCGGTCACCACGCAATGTCTGGCACCGCGGCTGCTCGGCTGCTCCTGGCCGTGGCCGCTGCCCGCTGGCCAGCCCCGTTGGTACCGGCCGCTCCTCGAGCCGGGGTAGGCAATGCTTGTTTCCTCGAGGTCGGGTTGGGGTCGCCACCGATGTGTCCGAGCGCAGGGCCGTGCCGTTGTCACGGCGGCTGCCGTCTGGCCGACGTGGCTCCTTTCCCACCGTGCAAACTACCTACCCGTCGAGTAGCCGCCCGTCTCCGCTGTCCCATAGCGTAGCCGCCTTGTCGCTCTCATGCCACAGCAAGTCAAATCACACCCTGTGTTGCGCACTGCTGCCCGCTATGCCCTGGCGCGCCCTCGTGCTGTTGTCTGCGTGCGCCGTTTAAATTCACGACGCATGGGCCGTCTCGGGTCAATTCTTCGCGTCAGTAGCTAGGTCACAGAGCTGACCAACCGCCGACCCGCATTTAGCCACAACCGTTCTTTAGTGATGGCCAATTCCTGAGTTACGTCGCCGTCGGTCAGCTCGCCGCTGGAGTAGAGCGCGATTGGGGGTGAGGCCCTAACCGTCGGTAATGGTTCGATTGATGGCACCAGTAGTCGTGATTTGATCCCCTATATTGGGTGCTCACCCTCCTTCAGCCAGGATTCTCGCCGGTGACGTGGTGACGTGGCCATGTCCGCCTTGGAGCGCCGCTGCCCTGGCCGCTCGCATGTGGCCGGGCCAACTCGATCGTCCTTCGCTCCAACCGTCTCTGCAGCGGGAGCCGCGGTGAGCCCCGATGCTACCCCACCACCTCTACCTTTCCAAGAGCGTGTAGGTCCACCAGAACGTCCGCGCCACCCCCTTGAACCGGACAGCCATGGCCACCGCCGTGGCTAACCATGTCGCCACATGCCATGCTCCGTGTCTCCACCCCTGTGCGTGTGCCGTAGGTGGGATATGCTGCCAGTCCTTGTGCGGCAGCTAGCGGGCCCTCCCCGGCCAGGAGAAGCCGCAGCGGCAGCGCCGTCCGTCGTTCGTGCATCGCGCCCAGCACCCGCCGCCCTGGGACTGGGTCTTTGCGAAGATGAGCAAATTCAGGGTTCTAAACGCGAATTGCTGCTCAATTGAAATAGTGTTCGCGAGCGCTGCGTAATAACCTGCTAGGTTGAGGGCTCTTTTGCAAAAAATGAAAGTGTGCGCGTGGGCTCCTCGTTTTGGGCTGTGGCTGGGCCGGCCCGTTGCACAGGTTCACACCCCCGCGCAGGTTGTGCTGGGCCGTTGGGCCGAGGTCGTTGCCGCTGGCCTTTTTTGATTTCTAGAGCAATTTCTAATTTAGCTTATAAGGTAAATTTGTAAATTCAAAATAAAATTGTATAGATGTCCAAAAATAGTGAAACCAATTTTGTTAGGCTCCTAAAATCATGATCTATCTATTAGGGTATTTGGTTCATCTAGTTTTAAAATGTTTTCAGGGTTGCTCTAATTATTTTAAAATGTTTAATATTATTAAAATGTGAACTTGTGGGAATTTTTGTGAGAAAATGGTGATAGTGTTGACTCTGAAGATTTTACAGTAAATTTCTAATATTATTAGCTACTCACTATAATTTTTGTAGCTCCAGAATAATTAGTTCGCTAGATAGATAATGATGACATATTTCGAATAAAGATTAAATTAATAGAATAAAATAAAGAAACAACTTGGAATTGTATAACTAAAACACTTGTTAGGAAATGACACCTTTCTCGACGATGTTCATATGTAGATTAGTATGTTAGTCATTAGAGCTAACTTGTTAGTTTGTAGTATGTACTCTGTTTTAAAGTTGTTGTTGCCTTCTTAATTAACTGTTGCATCATCTCTGCATCGCATTGCATACCATACTAGGGACGATGATGGATCACAGAGTCATCGGGAGTTGCTGGTGAGATAGTACTTTTGGAGATCGTGTCACCAAGATGGAATACTAACTTTTGGTTATATATTACCCAGGCAAGTCCCGGTGCATAACTCCTACTTTTTTGCACTTTATATTATGTTTGTGCATTAAGTTTTAATGAGTTGAATGAAACCCACTTGCATATATATATATATATATCCTATGAGTCTTACTAAGTATGACAGGATCGTGTAGATTGCTATGCTACAGGACTCCAGTAGAAGTCGAGTGATTGTTTATCGCTCGCGAGAGATAGAAAATATATTATTATTGTTACTATATTATTATCACTTGGAATATATATATATATATATGAATGATAATTGGAGACCGGGCGGAATGGTACTTTAGATCTGGACTTGGTTTGGCATTCGAACGAGGCTCGGATTGCATTTGCTCTGCCTGTGTCGGTTAAGGACCGGCCGTTGCATTGGGTTCTAGACAAGTCACATACTTATTATCCTGAACACATACTTGTGTATGGGCGTAGGGAAGGCTTATTGCTCTTTTGTCGTGGGTTCTGACTCTTTCCGGACTGATTGATTGGAGGCGGGGATGGTGAAGGTCTAAGCACCGCACTGAGTTCGGACTCAGGAGCATGGGCTTGGAGTCCAAATTTGGATGGGGACCTGGACCCCTTGATAGGAGAGTGGTGGGTTGGTCCTACTGTGTCTGGGGTACAAGCAGGGCGTGTGTTTCGGGGTATCCAGCTGGGCACATTGATTCGTGAGTCGCCGGGCGATCCGGTATGACTTGTCTACAGTCTAGCATCGTAGTAAGAACTATAATATGAAAGATGTAAAACTGATTCTGACCGCTTACCATCTGCTTGAAGGTAGCACATGTGCTTACATAGAATGGTTAGTTAATGAACTAATGTTGACGGCTAATAAAATTGAATATAAGGACATACGTTTAGTAATGCTCCTGCAGATGTAATAAACCCACAAGCCAGATAGCCTTGCATATCCTTGAAGTCTTTTCTTTGCTCATATCGGGTAAGTCTTGCTGAGTACAATTGAGTACTCAGGGTTTTATTTCCCTCTGTTGCAAGTGACAGGTGGATGCTAGAGCTGACTCTTGTGTGTGGATTCCTCCTGGTGGGCTTAGAGAGGATTCCTTTACGCAACAATCATAGTCTTTATTTATAATTCTCACTAAATGTTTTTAAAAATAGAAGCTTTATAATACGTGGTTATAGTTTATTTATCAATGTTTCATCATGTCATAAATAGATGTTTATTTCCGTTGTAACTATGTTCACATGTTTATATTCCGCTATTAAATTAAATTGTTCATAACTCTGATAACATGATCATATTCCGCTATTATAAACAATAAATATTATACTCTGATGCTGCATGGAAAGTAATGTAAGAAATGATTTAAGAATGGTGTAAGCTTTATTATCTCATTTGTGATTCTGATAGAAAAATGTGGATTTTTGGGTTCTCCCTTGGGGTGTGCTCGACAGAACTGCATAATTTAGCGTCTTCCCTTGAGTACTTAGTGTCTAATAGAAGACAAATACTCCTGGGAGGTATTAGATTAGGCGGTTCTACCACATCTACTGCCCTTCTTTCAAAAAATCATCATTTCCTCACCTGACTATCGCGACAAGCTCCACCGCCGCATCCTGCCCACCTAGCCGCTCAACCGCATGTTGCAAATGGATCTCGGTGCTGCCCATGTTACAAATAGCTATATACACATGTTTCAAGTGCTTTATCATGTCTTCATACGTATGTTGTAAATATTTTATTTGAATCTTTCAAAAGTAGATTAGGTGTTGCATATGCTACAATGACGTCGATGGCTAGCGGACAGCGACGACAAGGCTTTGCCTCCTACCTAGCTCCTTCCTCACATGGAGCGCCTCGCCCTCTCCTCTCCTCTCTCTCCCCTCCCTTCCCTTCCCTTCCCTCCATCTCGCCATGGCAGTTCGAGCTCGGCCGACGAGCGCATGGAGTTGCGGACATCGAGTAGGTGCAGCAGCAGACGCGGGGCGGGTGGACAGGCGTGGTGTAGGAGGTGGGGCAAGCATGAGTGCCCGAACAGGGGCTGGCGTCCAGACGTCTGGGCGCTAACCATATACCTTGTGAAAAGGACATAAATTTCGTTCGGCAAAAACGAAATATCTAAATCAAAGTATATTTTAGTATAAGTAGAAGTTATGAGTTGAATTAAATTTCGTTCGGCAAAAACGAAATATCCAAATCAAAGTATTTTTTTAGTACAAGTATGTTTTAGTACAAATTACGACGGTAATCTCTACAGCTAAAAAGCAGCGATAGTTTTCGTCCACCCGGCTGTGCGATCACATCCCCTTCGCAACTCCCTACCCCGCCCATGAAATACAATCGCCTCCTGCGGATCCTCCCCGCCATCCTCCCCCATCGTGACTCCCTGCCACCGCCCGGCTTCGCTGCCCTCCCCCACCGGGACCCCCTCTGTGCCGCCCAGACGTCGCCCTCCGCGCCGCCCGGGCACGGCTTCGTGGTGCCCTACGTGCGGCCGTGCCCGCTGCGTCGCCACCTCCGATCCTGGCACCGCCAGCCCGCCTCACCATCCCCATCCCTACTAGCTTGTTGTACCCCACCGATATATGCAGCATCCGTGGTTCGCTCCCTCATCACGGGAATGGATGATTCCTTCTCATATCGAGCGATCCAATCCCATCAATACATCCTCCTCCCGGCTAAGCAACCGGTGCATAGATAGACCCCGCCCCGCCGCCGCCTCAGGTGCCCCTGCCCGCCGTAGTTCCCTCGAGATCAGCCTCCATGGAGACCGATGACCATGGAAGGTGGAGGCCATCGAGGAAGCCCGCCGCTTCAACTTCCTTCCGCCTGCAATTTATTTATTGCTTTGCTTATTTGCTGCTCTTCATTCCTCCGCTGTGCGGGATCCAACGTCGACTACGTCGAGGCGTGTAGATGGGGTTGCGGCAAGAGCTCACTACCTTCGTCGTGCCGACGCCGGACGCCGCCACCGCTGCAGGTATACATACACCATATGCATCCTATCTAGCCTGCATTGTCATGTGATTTATTTACAAACCGTGTAGTACCCCGTATCCAAATTTGCTTGATGGCGGCCTTGGCCTGCAGCAGCAGAGGAACCACCACCGAGGGAAGGGGACGAAGGAGCCTGATCTGAAGAAGAGGAAGAAGAACGAGGAGCAAGAACCCACACCGCCGGTAGTGGACGCCAACGGTGCCACCGTCGGAGCCGATAAACATGATGCGTCAGATCAACCGGCTGTATTATCAGAGCCTGTTGCTGCTGGAGGTGGTGGTGGTGAGGCCCGCTCATCTTTTTCTTTATCTCAACCGAACTGTCTAATGATCGGTGAAACCATGGATGCTTCCTTATCTCAAGTCATTTTCTGGCTTTTGCAGCCGAGGCTTGTACACTAGGTAAGCATGTAGCTGATGCTTCAAGCTCCAATAACGACAGGAAGGACGGCTCGAAGAAGACGAATAAGAGGAAGACGGATCAAGTGACTGCTGATGGAGAAGAGGCACGCTTGTTCTTGGTGGATAATACCACCTGCTGCACGGTGGTGGATTATAATGATGGTGTGATCAATGATCATGGTGCTTCCATTGATCACAAGAAGGAAGCCGGGAGCAGGGTCGTTCAGGACATGGGCTCACCGAGAGACTCTGCAATGATGAGTTTAGCACAAGGAGGAGGAAGAAGCTACTTATGCTGGATCTTAATGGCCTGCTTGCCGATATCAACCAAGACAAGCACAACGCTCACTTGTCACATGGAAAGTTCAAACTTCAAAGGCAAGCTAGGTAAAGCGTCCGACAATTCTGTCCTTCGTAAAATCATTTTTTGTTGTCTCTGTACTGTTACAATACGCCCGAATCAGATTGGTAGCTAGCTTGAAAAATGATTTGTCATGGTGATGAATTTGTTTCATGCAGCAAGTTTTGAGTTGATAGGGAGCATGGTTTATATTTCTGAAGAAACTTAGATAGCGCACTTGAATATTTATAAAAACTATTTCTGTGTGCTGGGAGTCTGCAACTACCAATGTTGGTTGTTGCTCTGTTGCTGTCTTGTTTATTCTGAATAAATGAACCTTTATGAACTCAGCCAATCCTATGTTGTCAATTTAATTGTTATCTCTGGTACTAATGTAATCTTAGTCTCATCTTAAGTCTTTGGCTTACTTTTTGGTCTCTCTTCTAGGAAGATTTTTTGCCAAGAATGCCGACACGGCTAGAGTATAATTTTGGGTCTATCTTCTGGTAACTGGATCATGTTCATTTTCTCTAGATTCTTATGTGTTTCTGCTCTTGTTCAGGAAAAAAACAACTGCATGTATGATTGAGTTTTTCACCAGGCCTTTATGCTTTGGACAGCTTGCCCTGCTTGCTTTTCCTCATCTGCTTGAGAAATACATTTAAACCAGACAAGAGAAAATTTAAAGACCCAACAAGATTGTATGCGCCTGGCCGAATGTATCATATAGTTGTTGTCAAGTCTACCATTTTGATATTGTTGCTAAATAAATTGTCAATGTATTTTTTTATGGCCTACTTAGACTGTAATATTTTTTATATTGTTACTAAACAAATTGTTAAATGTATTGTTTATCCAGCCTACTTAGACTGTCACATTTTATCAGTTTATATATCTCTCTTCTTAGCCAGGAGAGCGAGAGATTGAAGCAACCATTAAATTCAATAGGGGTGAGTGCAGCTTGTTTTTGCAATCTTTGACAAATTGTTGATACACGAGAAGCTGACATGCACCTTTTTTTTTGTGTCATTTCAGAACTCATAGCTACAAGGCAATTCAACTGAACTAATATCTCAAAGGATGAAAAGGTGAACATAAATTATGTTATTTTCTCTTTTATTTTTTTCCTGGAAAGTCCCTTGTTCATCAATAATGCCATGATCAAACTACATGACACTCAGATTGTAGTCACATGAAGAACGCTACCTGACCATGTAGATTATGGTTTGATAATCTGATCGGTGCTAGAACATTTGTCGGATTGTTTTATTACATGACGTGTTTCCTTGATGTAGTAGTTATAATTGATCCTAGGTTTATTTGCCAATCTTGAAATTAAGAAGCAATTTAAAAATTTTGTATGAAATGATAAGTTCTGAAATGAAATTTATTTTTCATCGGAGTTAAATGCATCTATTTTCTCATTAGAGTTTTATGAAGAACGAGGCTTTAGCACTTAGCAAGGCTAGATGCATCTCAAGCAATTGTTCATAACATCGGCCATTTTCGTCAAGCAAACCACAAGTTTCCATAGCTATCGGCTTCTTTGTCCATCAAAAATTAAAGAAGACCACCAGTTGGCATTGTCAAGCAGATGGCGGTCCTCCGATAAAATAATAGGAGAGTTTGTGAGGCTGCGACCGTGCTTTCCGTGCTTGTTGCGAGAGATGTCACTTTAACGATTGTATTTAACTGCACAGTATTATTATCTTATATCATGTGATTTATCTGTTTTTAGTAAAAAATTTAGTTGCGCCGTAACGAGGCACCAGTAAACAAACAGAAAACAGGAGCTGGACATCCAACCGGATCGCAACGGGCTTCTCCGTCGGTCGCGGTCTTCTCCCGTCAGTCCGCCCCGCGTCCAGCTCCCGTCCCACACCCCACCCGGATCTCGCGCGCGACGCAGCGGTGGCGAACCCCGCCTCCTTCCAGAAGCCTCGAGAAGGCCCCTTCCCAACCCCGCTCCCGCGCGGATGAGCGGCACCTCGGGCCCTCTCCCCTACTCGATGCGAGATGTCTGCGCTGGCGGCGCCTACAACAACGCCAAGTTCCGCCACCGGTCTCGCCTCAAGGTGCGGCGCCTCCCCTCCCGACCCAAGCCCCCATTGTTTGCCAAAAAAGGCTGATTTTTCCTAATAAGGCTAGAGTTAGCTCTAGTGTGTGTAGCTTGATCTCCGTGGAGAACTGGAGTTTACGGCCGTGACTCGATTCATTGCGGGGAGTGATTTGGTCGATTGATGGGTTGTGCCTGGTTTCAGCTGGAATGAGGGATCCGTGTCCTCGGATCTGCAGGTCTAGTCACCGTTGGATTTGCTATGGTTAATTGTTGTGTGGCGCTGCTACTCTAGAGTGTTTCGATCTGCTTGAGGTCATTCACTAGATCAAATGGTCGCTTTGACCTGGAGTAGTGTATTGCATCAGCGGCTAGTTTGGTGTCATATGATTGCTGTTGCTCTCGTGTCTGTATGAGCTTTTCTACCTCATCCATTTCTTGCTTTTGAAGCTATATATCCGCAAATATTTGAGCTTATTTGGTGCTCTATAGAACTTAAATTTTCCGAGACCTCGCAATGTGCTTCTAGATTTTAGCTATACATTAATGAAGCACTAATCACGGTCTTCTAATTAGTCGAAAGGATCATGCTCACACACTCATTAATGAAGTACTCCCTCCGTCCAAATTATAAGATGTTTTGGTTTTCAAGGATCATGCTCACACGCTCATTAATGAAGTACTTCCTCCGTCCAAATTATAAGATGTTTTTGGTTTTTCTAGATACATTACTTTTACTATGTATCTAGAAATAATGTATATCTAAGCGTATAGCAATACCAATGTATCTAGAAAAGGCAAAACGTCTTATAATTTGGAATGGAGGGAGTACTAATTAGAATGACCTTGATCCTTTGGACTATACGTTCGAGTGCTGTTTGTCTTAAACTTATCTGCTTCATATCTGAGAAAGAACTGTAGTATTTTAACTATCTTTGTTTATCCTGTTTGATGAGGTGCGACATCTGTTTATATCAGTTATTTTTTGTTTCTTACACTAGGAGACTTTATTCAAGGCTGTTGTGGATTTGTGGTCTCATTAGTTCTTATTATTCCCTAAGGCCGAAGCCCTTTTTTTCTCCTGTGTAGATGGTTCTACAGTCCTTGTCTACTAACAGCAGCAAATATCGTTGTGGAAAGTTCACTGTTGGTAAATTCTTGAGCCTGTTGATGGTTTCTGGCTTATTGTACTTATTTCTGCACAAAGGCTCAGAGGGTATTATATCCAGTGAGCTACATGGCAAAGAAGTACAGAATAAAAATGCCAAGAGAGCTCCCAATATACGCACATTCTGGAGAAAACCACCAAGGCTGCCCCCACGCCTCCCTCCAAATGAAATCTACAAAAATAATTCTCTGCTTCAGCAGTCTCCATCTGAGTGGACATCCAGGCAGAAGAAAGTTAAAGAAGCATTTGAACATGCATGGTCCGGTTACCAAAAGTATGCAATGGGTTATGATGAGCTTATGCCTCTGAGCCACAGAGGCACAGATGGGTTAGGTGGTCTAGGAGCTACTATTGTGGATTCTTTGGACACTGCGATAATAATGGGTGCTGATGATGTTGTTTCTGAAGCATCAAAATGGATTGAAGACAACCTAATGAAAAGAATCAGTGAGAAAGGGCAGGTTAACTTATTTGAGACTACCATCCGTGTCTTGGGAGGGCTTCTTAGTGCATACCATTTGAGTGGTGGTGATCATCCAGGGGCAGGTGACTCCGGAGTACCAGTAACATATAAAAAGGCTAATCCAGAGCGACTTTTGAAAGTTTCAAAGGATTTAGCTGACAGGTTATTATTGGCTTTTACATCAAGCCCAACAGCTATACCTTTAAGTGATGTTATTCTTCGTGACCACACTGCACATGCAGCCCCTGATGGCTTAAGCAGCACTTCAGAGGCTTCAACGTTGCAACTAGAGTTCAGTTACCTCAGCAAAGTATCAGGGGATCCTAAGTATGACAGGGCAGCAATGAAGGTGTTAGAGCATATGCATACACTCCCAAAGGTGGAGGGTCTGGTGCCTATTTACATCAAGTATGCCTGTTCTACCTTTGTATATTTTTCAACTAATTCATCATAATGCCATTACATTGGATTGTCTTCAAACGCGTCAAGTTTTAAAGGAAATCTTTATATTCTCATTTTTAACTTTATATGCAGCCCCTCCTCTGGTCAATTTAGTGGTGAGAATATTCGATTAGGATCTCGAGGGGACAGTTATTATGAGTATCTGCTAAAAGTGTGGGTTCAGCAAGAGGAATATCGTGACAGTAGTTTGAAGTATCTATTTGAAATGTATACTGAAGCAATGAGAGGGGTCAAGCATCTTCTTGTTCGGAAAACTGTTCCAAATGGGTTGGTATTTGTTGGGGAACTTCCATCTGGACGAAATGGTGGGTTTAGTCCTAAAATGGATCACCTGGTATGCAATGGTCGCTTAGCATCTGTTTTCTTGCACTCAGATTCTTATAGTCTCTTCTTTATCTGGCCAAGATTTTGCGACCTTTCTAGTGTTGTGGTAGCACTGAATGTCTTCATATTGCAGGTGTGTTTTCTTCCTGGTACCCTTGCTCTTGGTGCAACTAAAGGTATCACCAAGAGAAAAGCTCTTGAAAGTAACTTGTTAACTGATGAAGATAAAGAAAATCTCCAGCTTGCTGAAGATCTGGCCAAAACATGTGTTGAGATGTACTTTGTGACCTCTACCGGCCTTGCTCCTGAAATAGCTTATTTCCACATTGAGGTAAACGGTTTGCTGAGTCACTATGCATCCTAATATACTCCTGAGTTTGGTCTACCTTATATTTAATTATGTTTCAATATTTTCATTTTGCGTATGAATAACTTGTGATATGGGGTTTCTACAGGGTGATACAGAAGGGGGGCCTGATGGTGGGAATAAAAGCTCCAAATATATCAATGATATCATAATAAAACCACTTGACCGTCACAATCTTCTACGCCCAGAGACTGTGGAATCACTATTTGTTTTGTATAGAATCACAGAGGATCCCAAGTGAGATTTGGTGACTACCTACTTTTCAGTTTGCATCAGTCACTGTTTGCTAATCTTTTTCTTCCTTTTCCACGAACAGGTATAGGGAGTGGGGTTGGCAGATATTTCAGGCTTTTGAGAAGTACACAAAAGTTGATTCTGGTGGTTACACATCATTGGATGATGTTACAAGCCTACCTCCATCTACGAGAGATAAAATGGAAACTTTCTTCCTTGGAGAAACATTGAAGTATTTGTATTTGCTGTTTGATGAAAACAATACCCTTCCGCTAGATAAGTATGTATTCAATACAGAGGCCCATCCTCTTCCAGTTATACGGTCTACAGAACGGGCTTCACATTCTGTGTAGTTTCCCAAGTTTATAGCTGTTGTACTATTCTGAGAAGTACAGATTTGTGACAAATATACTTGACAACATAGTTGGAGGAATGAGAAACTGAGAATCCCTTGCATGACCTGTTCTTGGAGGCAAGCTCATGATTCTGGAATCGTCATGCTTGATTTGAGGATTTGGGGTTTTTACTTGTATTTATTGGAAGGCCATACAACTTTTGTACTCTGTAGTCTGTACTACCTAACTTCAAATTTTGAAATCAGCTTAGCAGTTACACCAAGATTTTTATCTTCAACAATTGTATGATCATGCGTCAGCCATTCTTTCTTGACCTTCAATGTTCCACCAAATTGCTTCATGTAGCTGGTAAGTACTAGCAGTATCCTTGTCATCTCCACTAATTGCTAATACATTACTCATTTCTTCTTGAGGCTGCCCCAGTGTTATCATAATGTAGGATATTGCAAGCAGATCTCCTTAATCTCAAGATTAACTAAGAACCTTTCTTTTATAAAATTATCTTATTGCATTCCACTAAATTGTCCAGATATTTGACCTTATTTTGAGAAATATATTTCAGAGTACTTGCATTAGTTGTAATTACAACCATTTCACTGATTTTTTACGCTTTAGCCATGGTTAAATGGTGAAGTATTGCTTTTTAGATTCAGCGCTTAAAATTTTAGCCACTGGTTGGTGAAGTGTCTCTCAGTTAGCTAAATGGTCAACTAGTCTTTTCAGCATGCATTCAAAGAATGTCTGGCATTTGACTTCATTGATTAAACGAATAAGGTGAATCGTTTGACATCTTTCTATCAGTGTATTCCAGTAGCTCAATCGGTTATAGATGAACCGTTCGATATTACTTATTTTGTGTAGATGGCATATTTTTTCCTTGTAACAAACCGTAGGAGCTAACAGTTCTATTTATGTAAGATGATTTTTTTTTTTACCAACTGTTTGAAGAATCTGTTGATGCAGATATGTTCTATTTATGCAAGATGATTTTTTTACCGATTGTTTGAAGATCTGTTGATGCAGACATGCATTTTTCCTTTTTATCGTTCTAGTTTACTTCAATATAATTTCCCCTTTTTCATCCTCATTAGGTTTTGTGCAAATTCCTTGAGATGAATAGATGATCATCTCTGTTACAAATTTTGCTTTTCCTCTTGACCCTCGTTTTTCTGATAAAAAGATGTCATTGAAACTACGGGTTGGTTTCTCCATCACCTTGAGCCTCTCCTCTGACTGAAGCACATTGCATTATCTATCAAAGTGATTCCATGAGCTTAATAATGATACGTTGTGACATGATGGTATGAAATCAATGAAATAGATGGGGAAAGTCTAATAAAACTTGTTCCACAACATTTTTCTTTGCTGAACGGTATTCCTCTGAAGTTCAAACTAGCTGTGCTCGTACTGGATTAAATAATTATGTGTGCTATTTGTCACACCCCCAAAATTTCCGATTTTGGGTTGTGAATAAAAAAACACTAAAAATGAATAATTTTAATATTTGGATAAAAATTTACCAAGTTTAGTTGAGCTAGTGCAAATTTTGTTATTAGAAAAATGTGAATTTTAAAGTTTTCTAATTTTGATGGGCTTGGTTGACGTGATGTTTGCTTGTTGGTTGACTATGTGTTGTGATTGTGAAAAGTTTGAAAGCACGTTTAGTAAGTCGTTTATCTTTTTCCGGCTTGTCTGTCTTTTTGTGTAATCAAATACCTCCTTTTCGATCTTAATCATCTCATTTGGAGTTGCCCTAGATCTTTTCCTTCTACTCTAATTCATTTCTTTGAGTTCATCATCCATCAACATATCTTTGCGAACTTTTCGGGCTAGCTTTTTTTGAGCTAGTTCCCACTTTCTGCGAGCATAATCTAATTTTTAGATGCTCCAAAATATCTCCATGAGCTCCAAATACTTAATTTGGATTCCTCATGTTCAAAAATGTATCTAGAAAAATTTTCAAATTTTTGAAGCTTTCGGAGTATTTTTCGTGGCTCAAATAGTAATTCTAGATTTTCTAGGATTATTTTTAGTCGTGAAATTAAATATTCCGAAAATATGTAATCTTAATCCTAATCCATCTCAGCAAAGGAGATTCGTTCCCCATCTCTCGTATGCTGCTGCACCAAATTCCGACGGCTCCAACTCGAGCCCAAACCTGCCGCTCTATAAAAGGATCAGATCGAGAAGCTTTGGGCCGTGATGCCTTGATGCAGATATCCTGTTTCCAAACCCTAGCATAGCTCCAAGCCGCCTGATCTCATGGCCGCCGCCACCGATCTCACCTCTGCGTTTAGGGCCCATCCATTAGAGCTCCACCGCAAGCCACCATCGACCGCCGCCGGCCACCATCGAAATCACAGCCCAAGCTGCGCCGGAGAAGCCGTTTAGATCAAGGCGCCGTGACCCGGGAGCATCGCCAGAGGTCGCTTGGAAGCTGTTCAGACCTCATCAGCATCGTCCCGTGGCCTGATCATCTACGCTGCAGGAAAGACCGTAGGCCGTTCTCCATATGCACGTCCAGCCACCGTCCATATCCTGCTCTGTGCTCCACGTACCATCCCTTGCCGAACTCCGGCCGTCGATCGTCGTTTGCCATCGGTGAGCACTGAACATTCGTTCCTATCTCTTTCTCTTTTCTCTTCAGTTAGTCTGATCAATTCTGTGCTTGTGGCAGCCGAACCGTATCGAGTACCATGCAATTTTATTTGCACACCGTCATGCTTCCTGTTCAGTACATGCAAGTCACGGTCACTCTCGACGAAATCTGATCGACACTCTATCGAGGGGTATACCACAGTAATAGATGATTGGTGGAGGTACGCGTAATAGGAACCGGATGGTGACACAAGGCGCAGAGACAACGATTTAGACAGGTTCGGGCCGTCTGATCGACGTAATACCCTATGTCCTATGTCTTTGTTGGATTGTATTGAATATGAGATGAATTCGAGGGGATCCTTACCCGTCTTATATAGTCTGGAGGGTAGGGTTATAAGTCGGTTTAGGTCTAGATCTATTCGGTTATATGATAAGTATTTACAAGGAATACGATATATATCATATCCGAAAAGATCTTCCTTCATCGTCAAGATGTCTTCTGATTGCCTTGCAGTACACGTAGACCATAACTGGGCATCGTAGGCCTTGATCTTATGGGCTGGACCTCCCTTAGCGGTGCAGTCCGTGTCCATTGCCGTAGGTACCAGGGGTTATACCCCGACAACTAGTCCCCAAGCGCCTTGTATCCGCTGAGCAACGCCGTCTTGAGCAAGTCCGAGCAGTTTAACTTGGAGTCAGCCAACAAATCTGGCAATCCGACCAGTTTAACTGGTAATCCAATCAACAAAACGAAGTGCCGACCAGTTTAACTGGTAATCCGACCAGTTTAACCGGCAATCCAATCAACAGAACGAAGTGCCAACCAGTTTAACTGATAATCCGACCGATGAAAATTGAAATCAGCCAATTTATCAGGTATCCTGATCTCGGACTTAGCTAAGTAAGGCTTGACAGAAGGATGCAAGGAGCTTAAGTTTAAAATTTAAAAATTTTCCACCTTAGGTGAAGTATACACACTTAAGCTTCGCGGGCGAAGTCAGATGAGCATCATCCATGACTTATGCAAAGTGGAGATTAGTACTGATATATACGCCGCAAAGTGCAATATATACATTGTAGTCACCGAGCCTGACAGTAAGTGGAGAATACCCCTAGTGTCAGGATCAAAGAATATCAGCAACTGAAAAAGAAAAACGAGAACTTGGCCAACCATTAAATTTGATACAAGCACCGCTAGGTTCAATGTATACATTGTAGTCCCCGAGCCTGACAGTAGGTAAAGAAGACACCTGGTATCAGGATCAAAGAATTTCAACGATCACTTAGTCAAAACAGCCAATTCTCAGCTTAGCCGAGCACACAGCTAGTCCCCAGCTTAGTTGAAAAACCAGTAAGAAGAAAAAACAGTACATTCACCGCATGGTGAAGTGTACACACTTAGTCCCCGAGCCTGCTGTAAGATAAAGAAACATCTTGTAGTTGAATCAAAGAATGAAGTGTAAAGGACGAAGTCCCCGCGCTTAGCACTTGGTACGTGGAGTAAAATTCAATAATACCGAGCGGTAAAACGTGGAGAAAACGGAAAGTGCTTAGCACTGGATTGTTGTGGTAGATACACTTATCAAAGCCCCTGATGTGCCGCCCAAAATCAGAAACCTGATCTGGACAGCATGGAAAACCTTGACATCACACATGACATGCAGCGTCGGCAAAACGTAGTAAGCCAACAAGCAAATCGGTAGACGAAGTCCCTAGCTTAACTGGCAAGCCCCCAGCGTAACTGACGATGAAACGACAGACAATCCGACCAGTTGGTTGGCGAAGAATCAAGTACAGAGTAGCCCAACCAACTGGTCGACAGCGAAGTGAGCGCCGAGTAGAAGTGAATGCTAAAAGGTCCGACCAACTAGTCGGCGGCGAGGTCATGAACCTAGTGGTCTGACCAGTTGATCGGCAGAGAAATCCGAAGGCCAGATGGTGCGACCACCCAGACGATGATTCATGGCGAAATTGGAGAACATGGAGAGATTTGGAGAACATGGAGAAATTTGGTAACATAGAGAAATTTGGAGAACATGGAGAGTGCTTAGCACTATACCGTGGCGAGATTGCAGACCGTGGTGAGAATTGGAGATCATGGCGAAAATTGGAGATCCGTGGCGAAAATTAGAGATCGTGGCGAAAATTGGAGACCCGTGGCGAAAATTGGAGACCCATGACGAAAATTGGAGATCGTGGCGAAAATTGGAGACCCGTGGCGAAAATTGGAGATCCGTGGCGAAAATTAGAGACCCATGGCGAACCTACGAAGCAGGCTCAAACGTTCAGTATGCCCGGGGCCCATTATACCGGCCCAATAACAATTGACGGAGAAGTTGGAGGGGCGCGAAGGAGGTGACGCAAATATTGCGGAGGGGGCGAACAATGCGGCGGGG